TCATTCTGAAAGTTAAAATGTTCAAGTTTTCAGCTGCATGATACGATGCAACCTTTCCTCCCTGTGACTGCAGCAGTAACAGCCACACATCGTGTGCCCTTTTTAAGCTTAGAAGCAAACCACAAACGAAAATAAAAATTTTCCTTCGCGCGAGAGGCGCCACTGTGACGCGCACTAATGCCGAGTCTCAACAATTTTTTACGACGCTCGTAAAACTGCTGCAAGCCGGCGCGTGAATTTTTATTATCATTACAAGTGTGGCGACGAGGACGAGCCACGGATATCATATCTGCTTATTTTATGCGTATTTGAATTTTTCTGGCTAAAACTTCTGCCGACGCCAACTCTTTTATTTCTCGAGTTCTTAATTTTTATTTCGATCAATATTTCATCGATCACTGAAAAATTTTGTGCACCCAAAAGCTGCAATGAATCCACGGCCAAGAAAAATCCGAACCAATAAACAATTTAAGTAATTAAATCAATGTTTAACGTTTGAACACAGTAACAGCTCATATAAAGCAGAGTAATTCGCCTGCCTGACTGACATTACGACGAGTAACTGCAATTTTTGTTCTCGTTTAGTCTCTCTTTTCATGGTTACATGTAAAGAAGAAAGACACATGGAAAATCTAAGTCTACGTCGCGCTCGGTCCCTCTCGATAAATTCTTGCGCCGCTGAGGATATTGACAGATATTTTAATGAATATCCCTCGCTTGTTAGAGGAAAGGTTCCACAGTCGTTACCCTCTTTGTAATCTCACGTTGCCTTGGCTTCGAAGCTCATATCCAGGCAAGCTTTTCTTTTTGTAATTCAGCGACGGCTCCACCCCCGCTTATATTCACTTGTCAAGTGTGTCTACCGGTTTTCGACCGCACCTCGTGGTCGAAATCTTCGTATCTCTTTTGCTCCATGTGCGCTTCAGTGGTACTGCAAACAAGCACGCATGCACAGAAACTGGCGCTGCTTCGGTTACTGACAGGCGCGCTTTCGTAACCGCCTTGCCACTATATGGCTTGGACACTAGACGACCTTGTTGTCAGGCGCATGCACAAACATTCCAGCACAAGAAAGAGAGAAACGGGGCAGAGAACGTTATAATAACTACATCAATCGCAGCTTCTGTTGCTGGGAAATTTGACAGCCACGACGTTTCATCGCTCGCGGCTTCTCATTTTTATCGGCTACCTCTCCATCTTTATCTTTTCACAATTCCCTCTACTTCTTTTTCTGCCCTTCTTCTAACGCATGTATTATAAATACATGCATACATATTTGTAAAAATGATTAATTTTTCATCGTTTTTAGTTGATTTAATAACTGCCAAGAGTGAGGTAAATGCGCAGTCTTCAATCACAGCTGAAAAAAATTACCTACGACGTACTTATATAAATGAATGAATTCCCACTGCAACGATCTATAACAACTTCATTCATTACAAGACATCTTTGAGGTCAATATTATAATTACAACTTGAAAAAATACCATCAGATTATACTGTAAGATGTTGTATTTGCAAAACTATGTTAATTTTCGAATTTTTCTGATTATCGTCATTCAGCAATGTATTGATTATTAAGTTAATCTGTTTACAACCAAGTTTGAAACCGATGTGTCAAAATTTCGCGTTTAACGCTTTAATCTATATAAATGGCACATCTCATTTTTAACCCTGTATTTCCTAGTGACAGGTAATTTCAGGCAAAAACTTGCTAAAGAAGAAAAGGAAGGCGAGATTTATTGAAATTTTATGTGCATGTTCAAAGACAATAATAACGAGCCGATAAAAGCATCGATAATTTTTAGCAACTCGAAAAAATGAGCAACGTCGCGATACAATAGCAGTTGTGAGAGAGGCGATATGAATTCATAAAAAAATTGATTCCAATTTTATGGAGAGATTCAAACGCAGTGTTGATGAAAGGGAAGAGGATGAGGTAAAGTGGGAGCAGACCGATGTAGCTATAAATCAATCGAATTCCATTAGATTTTTTGTGCAATCAGAGACAAAATAACGAAGCATCATCGAAAAATATAATAGTAAGAGCCTTCTGGTAAACAAATAAATAACAAAGAGTCCTCAGAAGCCTGCCAGCGATAGAAAAAGTCAAAAATAAAGAGAATGCAGTTGTGTATGCAGTTTTCGTTTTTGTATTTGCTGTAAACGAACCATTTTGACTTTCAATAGGTCATTAATTATATAAATACCATTATTAATATTAATTTTTTTCAGCTTTTATTGTAATTGCAGTAGTATGAATATTTGGAAAATTTAACTGGAAGTAATTGAGATATATCTAAGCATTTCATGATTTTTGAGTTCACTATCTCGGAGTATGCAATAGACTAATCAGCATGTGTGTCAAAAGCTTATGAAGTAAGAAAATTAAAATAAACATTCATATTAATAATTAATTTTTTCAGGTTCAAACAGAATACAAAGTTTTTTTTCAAAATAAATGATATGCACAAATGAAAAATTCGAATTCGCGTGTGATACAACGACAACGACACTATAAAAATGCTGATGACCAATCACTGGACTAATATTAGAAATAAACAAGAAACGACAATATAGAATTTAGATAAAATGATTCAATTTTCTACATGCTGCTAAAAACTAAGAGTTACTGTTTAACGAATTAGTTGTTATCATGATTATCGAATAAGTTTAGAAAACTACAGAAAAAAGTTTTACACGAAAACAGTCAATAAACAGTCTACAGCTCCAATTAATCAAAAATATTAAATACTTATAATTCCGTACGAGACAAGTATAAATCAAGGTAATAAAGAATTTAAAAATATTCATCCGATCATCGGAACTAAAAACACGTAGCGCGCGCAGAGCTTCATGGACTCTATACTACGACGTAGCGTTTCGTGAGCCTAGTCTTACATACATAAACAAGATATATTTTCGTCAATCATAAATATATCTATGAAGCAAGTATTTCATTATATTCACGGAAATTCACCTGAATTTATTGCTTTTTCGAAATTCTTCTATTAAATTGAATTCTGTCGTTCTTCAAATATCACAGCGATACTTTTATACGCGTGTTCACATTTATATATATGCGTGCGAGAGTGCGAGCATAATGTGGGCGTTGCGAACGAATAAAATTACGAATAAATGTATACAAATATACACGCGCATATGCGCGATTGAGGCTTTTTAGCTTATCAACTTATTTATTGCTCGCAGAGAAAAGGACGACTCTCAACTCGTGCGTGTTATTTTTTGCTCAAATTCGTCACCGTCCGAGGCAATAATGTGAATCATTTAAAAGTTGATTAAATATTTTGATTGATAGATGTCCATTGAGAGACTCTGGTATAGCAGAAAGATTTTGCTAATCTCGAGCGTGCGTCAAATTGTTGTTTTTCCGACTGTGACTTTGGATATGCGAATGTGTAACTCATTTTATAAACCCGTTTTTAACTCGTTTTACAAAAACTCATGACGCGCGTTTGGTTTCGAGATTTTTAAATTGCCAGATGAAAATATTCGAAAGGTCATTCTAATTTTTAAGTTTTCATCTTTGTCTCGTTCGATATTGAAAAATATTTCTCGGCAACTGCATCATTTGCGAATCATTCGAAAAAACGCCGTTATTGCATAAATCGAGACAAAGGCAAGAATAAATGTGCATGATCTTGTACCGCGATACAGAGTTTAGTAGGGGGGCTACAGAACTCGAAGAACGAAAGGCCCATATAAGCAGGAGTCAGTGTGTTTGTGCGTAATACTATCATGTAAAGGGGTACTTTCATAAATGTTAAAAACTGGATAAGCTTCAATTATAAATGTTCGATGAGACTTTGGTAGCATTTAATAGCTCACTCATCCATGGGAGAAGTTTTTCACGTCATCACGCAGGTAATTTTGCATCATTTTAACGGATATCGCATGGAAAAGATGTGCAAAATGTCGTAAAGCACCAGTCCACGCGCGTCAGGATGAACAATGCGTATCGATCGAATCGGGGCCTTTCGACAAAAGTCAAAACGACGAAACAAAACAAAACAAACGTAGATGCTTATCGGTTTGGGGGAAACTAATAATGCAAGCGGCTCCATTTCTCTGAAACAACTAGCGCGAGTATTTAAAAATTTGAAACGCGAGCTACGCTACGCGACGCGATACATGTGTTCTTTGCCACGCGAATAAACTGACAACACAAAAGTGTACATTACTGAGTTGCGTATAAATACGTACAATGACTAAATCATATAAAACAATGAATACGTTTCTCTCTGTTTCTCTTTTGCCAGAGAGCGCAGATAAAGAGCTGCATAGAAATTCGCGCGATCGCGAGTGTTTGTGCATGGATGAGGATGCATGCACATAGCCATGGATTCCCTAGACTCCGCTGATACGAATCGCGATAATCGACCAGGAACAATCGTTTTGCACCCATGCGCGAGTACGTATCATGATGTGAGTATAGCACAAATACGTTGTCGTACACGTGAGCTGATTTCCAATTAAAATGATTAATTGCCGAATTATGTGAAAGCCGGAAATGAAAAATATACACGATTTTGAAAGTCCTACGGCTTCGTGCAATAGAGGCCTTTCGAAAGTACAAAAAAAAAGTTATTCTCTGATTGTTTGGAAAAAAAAACTGAAATTTTACACAACTGTGCAGATAAAACTGTTAAGCAATTAGCGTAAAAAATCGAAATAAGGATAAAAATGAAAGCAGTGGCATAAGAGCGGTACATGAGCACATTCGAGTGGATAATCTGCCTGCTCAAACAGACCGATCGCGCGAAATAGCGTCGATAGAAGTAAGCATCGGAAGTTAAGCAAATTAATACAGCGAAAAAAGTCAAGACTTGTTATGGCGCGCGCACACACGAGGCAAGGCACGAGCTCGTGACCATAGGTTCACGTTTCGTAGCAGATCGTGCGTTGCGCACATGCGTGCGCGCGGCCGGCTGTACAGCAAGCGATACACATGTAGCTATAGGTGTGCTGCTGGGTATTTACCGGGAGCGTTATCGCCGCGCTGTGACGGCCACCGGTAGGAAGGCCTTGGCTGCTGCTTACTTCGCATATCTTGCCGTCCGACTGAGCGGCGGGCACCTGCGCAGCCAGCCTCTGGGGCAGCAGCGTCGACGGCGGCACCGCGTCCACGTCTCTATCTCGATATCGGCCACTAGACTACCACTGAGACTTTCTTCTGTCTCTCGCGCGCGCGCCCGCAAGCGCGCACCAAGAGCTAATTCCCGACACCACTACTTACCTGGAACACAAGAAAAACATTTGCCATTTAGTTCATTGTTAATGCACAATATATCACATTTGTATGGAATTATATATTTATATCTTTATGAAAAACGTCATTTGTTTAATAAAGGTTGGCTAGCATGCAGTGCGCTGAACGCGAGCAGCGTGTATGAGGGGAAAAATAAGGGCTGGGACGGACTTTTTAATTAATCCAAGAATGCCTGTCTCATCCCTTACGCGCGCGGCTCCAGCGCGGGCAGAGTCGACCGCGACACTTTGCGGAGACGGTCATCTCTCTTCTGCCGCTGGCGTATATAGCCTGCATTATATACGTTCGTCGTACTCGTCGTCGTCACAATGTCTGCGTGCGAAAATTATGTATATAGAGGCAGCTCGCGCGTGAGCACGAAAGGTATAGCTGAGCTAGCGGCTCACATATCCCGCTAGTGGGATTATTTCAGCTCGAGAGAAAAAGAAAACGACTACGTGCGTATGTGGATGTGCACGAGCTGAAAAAAAGGCCATATAACCATCGAGGTAACTGTTGGAAGCATGAGCGATGCCAGGAACGCTACTAGTCTTTTCCTCGCTGCTGCGTCGTCGTCGTCCTGCAGCGTGTGCCTATATAGCCGCCAAGTAGTGTTGGCCACCCTGCTGCTGCTGCTGCTGCTGCTGCTGGCTCTATATCTTCAGCCAAACGTACGCCCTCGAAAGCGGGCCGCCTTTGTTTTTGATATTTATGAGGCGTTTTAATTCGCACCAGCGCTCCGAAGTTTGCTTGCGCCTGATATGCCATATACTACATTTACACACCCCTCAACCCACCTCACCCCATTTTCCAGCCATGTAGCTAAAAAACTAAGAGAACGAGTCACGCCGATCAATGTTATGCAATGCAATGGGGAGTATACGTTATCGTAAATTCCCTACGAGGCTGCACGACGAGCGCGTCCTAGTAACTCGAGCCGAGCTGTCGATATATACATTTCACTTTTCGACTCGTCATCTTTTTAGCAAAGTTTGCCGCTCAAACTGATTAGGCACAAGCGTTGTGCGCTACAAATACTGCATTGATCACGCGAAAATTTCCGAAATTCGTCCCGAGCTCGATCGCATTATATGCGCAATTTTTCTGTCGCCAATAAATTCGATAAAATACGACTTTGTTTTTCTGGGCGTCCGAGCGGCACATCGAACGGGCTCGGGCGCGTGCAGGATCGGGAGATTCCGAGTGCAACGATCGCTTACCTGCTGCTCTCTTAACTTTTATTCGCGCGCATAAAACCAAACGGTAAATGCGAGACTAATTTTGAGAGACTCGTAATTTTCCATTGCCGCGCAAGCTCCAATTCTCAAGACCGATAAAAGAATAAAATATGTTTTAATTTCACTCGAGCAGCCTGGACATTATTATATTCAATCGGCAGCGTTAAGCGTGCAAAGCTTTTATATCAACTGCAGCAGCGAGGCCCGTAACGATTCGCCGATATATGAATAAATTTGAATTTCATGAAAATTGATCGGCGTCGAGAATTGGTCGGCCACGAGCTTGAAAGAACATTAAAGCTCACTAGGCTTCGTTACAACTACGTAGCTCATTATATGCTGATTTTTGCGAATAATTTCGGTCAATCTTCGGAGGGTGGGGTGGAATAATTTTGTTTTGCGGCATCGAAGGTATGAAAAAAGCCACTTGACTATTCGCGTCCGGAGGATGGTGATTTTTTTCGTTGGGGGTTGCTGCAGAGGGCAGCCGACTGAAGCTGGCGTATCCAAGTAACGCAGCGAGTTTAACGGAATAACAGTACGTCACGGCCACTCGTCGGTGTACGGGTGAAGCGCGCGTATGCGTGAGCCTAGCCCTCGCAAATAGCAAGAGCGGCAGCAGCAGCACTAGCGCGTACCCACTGGCGGTAGCTCCTTAACAGCCTTCAGTCTCTAAAAGCCCCGGGTGTGATGTATGGCAAGACGTTGCGTCAGTCTCGTACGAACGTAGCGGCGAACAGATGCAGGACTCGTATATTATGCTCTAGGCCGCAATATCTGGGCGAAGGGAGGGAGACGCGAGGAGACGACGAGACGAGAAACGACCAAGAGAGAAAAGTACGCGCACGGTAGAAGAGGAGGAAGCCCGAGCGGAGCCGAGAGGAAGGAACAGAGAAAGAAGAGAGCGAACTGCCTGACTGGCTATACAGCGCATCTCGCGCGTATCTCTCAAAAGAATAGTGCGGCAGCGAACGACACAAATCACTCGGTCTTTTGTGCGTCTCGAGGCCCGTAGTCGAGCTCGTGCTCGTGCACGGAGCAACCTGTGCTGCCTCGAGCTCGTTTCGCGCGCGTCGTCTAGCGCCTCGCTCGCAGCTACCATACCAACGCACACGAGCAGTTGCTAGTCGAGCTCGACCTATTCTTTCAAGGCTAACGAAAAATATTTTTTACCCCCGGCAACTTTTGTAGTTTTCCGTAAGTTGTTGCGAAAATACCGCGAGCTCGCCTCGGGCCTCCAGGATAAGTGTCCGCGATTTATGTCATCTCTATAATATGTGAGCCACATCTTTATGTATCTACTGCGCAGGACGTTGCCGTGACCACGCAAAGGTTATGTAAATTTGCGATGAGTGAGAAAGTCCCTTGACACGCTGATTTAGTGCCTCCTTTTATTGTAACCCACCGCACGCAGCCGCTCGACGCTACAGTACGTCGCACGCGCGCGCGCGACCCGAGCCAGCTCCGCTCTTTTCTTTTATCGATATAAATTTNCCCCCCCCCCCCCCCCCCCCCCCCCCTCCTTCTCTCTCTCACACACACTTTTCTCCTTTTTTTATTAACGAAATTTATTAGCGACATTTTTACGATTTGACGCCCGATGAGCTTTTTCCCCTCACCCGCAAAACTCGAGATTTATTCCAACCGGGGGGCAAAATTACTTTTTTCTCCTTTCAAAGTATCGTTGGTAATTCTAACTAAGGAACATCTTCGAGGCGAACACGCGCCAAGCGCATAATTATCAAATTCATGGCTAAAATCGATGGCAAACAGCTAGTGGCTCTTTCCTTGCTCGAAATTACGTCCTATCACGATAACTTCCAGACAATATTTCGCATTTTAAAATTACGAGTGAGAATCTTGCTAATTAACCGAGTCTTTTCATTGAAAATTCGTTATTGCCGACTAACTTGCATCGAAATTAATTTAGATCAGCCTCATCTTCGAGTTAACATGAATTATTAGGCAACACGTTCACCTATGCATGATAATTCATTTGGAATTTGCATTTACTCAAAGAATCTGCGAACACGCGGAGAAAACATTTCTGCTCAAAGCCCCTGAGAACGGACATTTACGGAGGCACACATATAAATGTATAAAAGTGCGTCAGCGTCGGAGCGGCATCGAAATTGAAATGATTTCGGAGAGTAAATCACTATTATTTACAGGCTCGCTTGTCCGTCGTAATTCCCATTCATAAAAAAGCCAATAAAACACTTTTCTCTCCCTTACAGCCGACATAATTAACAGGGTGAAAGAGCAGTCGAATTCAGCGAAACGCCCTTACTCTTACATCTATATACGAGCATGTATGTATATGTGTACATTTGTATGTGTGCGTGACACGCATGGACGTGTATGCGAACTCGCATTTTAGATGACCCGTAACTGCCGTAACAGCTGACGAGATCCTTGTCAAGGCACGAAAATCCTAATAGGAAAAAAAGCCATAAATCAGTTAGACTTTTGGCTACGTGTTTGCGTCGTTTGCCGAACCCAGCCAATAGTATAATAAACACGTGAGCTCAGGCTTATAAGCTCACAAAGTTGGATAAAAAGAAACATATATGGGTCAAAATAATACTTTTTTACAAAACCGTGCGCACGTATGTCACCGATCTTGACGCGCTTTTGGTATGTTATAGTACATGGTAAAAAGGTCCCAAAAAAAAATTTTTAGACCCCCTCCCCCCTCCTACCCCCCACTTCCGGTATAAACGTCCATTTTCGATCTATATTTTTTCTGAGGACATGAAGCAAGTAAAAAATCTGAAAAAATTCATAAAAATACTTTTCCACAATCCAAACAACCTTGAATTTTTTCAGATTTTTTGAGTGCTTCAGGCCTTCAGATAAAATCATTGAAAATTTCAAAAATCGAGATACGGCGGTATGAGCCGATGTAGTACTCGGAAATTTTTTCAGTTATTTTTCGCATTAAAAAACATAACCTCAATTTTTTTCAGATTTTTTCAGATTACCTAACGCACCTTTTGAAGCCAAAAACCGATTTTTTTGACGAAAATAATTTTTTTAGGACAGTACGGAGCCTCGAAAAATCTGAAAAAAATTTTTTCTTGTTTTTTTCATCAAAATACGTAATCTCAAATTTTTTCAGATTTTTTAATTGAAGGCGATAGCTTCTAGGGCCGAAAAATGCTATTTTTAACAAAAAATGGTTCCTAGAACCCGATGGTTCCGGTGAAAAAATTTGAAAATATTTTTTTTGAATTCCTTGTCAAATTTTAATAAATTTTGACCGTTTCAAAAGTTCGATTGAAGCTTCCTAGCTCATTTTAGAGCAGGACAAAGATTAGTGCAAAATATCTGAAGACGTTTCTGAAGACATTAAGGAATGATAAAACTCGTTTGATGCTCTAAAATGAGCTAGGAAGCTTCAATCGAACTTTTGAAACGGTCAAAATTTATTAAAATTTGACAAGGAATTCAAAAAAAATATTTTCAAATTTTTTCACCGGAACCATCGGGTTCTAGGAACCATTTTTTGTTAAAAATAGCATTTTTCGGCCCTAGAAGCTATCGCCTTCAATTAAAAAATCTGAAAAAATTTGAGATTACGTATTTTGATGAAAAAAACAAGAAAAAATTTTTTTCAGATTTTTCGAGGCTCCGTACTGTCCTAAAAAAATTATTTTCGTCAAAAAAATCGGTTTTTGGCTTCAAAAGGTGCGTTAGGTAATCTGAAAAAATCTGAAAAAAATTGAGGTTATGTTTTTTAATGCGAAA